ACTAGGAGCAAGGACGCTATTAGGGGCTCCTGGCCTTACTACTAGAAGCAAAGAAGCTACCAGTAGCTTCCAATGCCAGTCTTCATATCCAAACACTCAGAGGGTCTCTGACTCCGAGGCTCAGAGGTTGATCCGAACAGACGGGGCAGCAACGACGACTCCGTCGTTGGAGAGTGGGCTCGGTGCATCCAAATGTTTGGAAGCCAAGCACGCTTCACTTTGGAGAGCGGCCAGGCTCTCTCCCTGGAATACTGCGACGCCATGCAGGCTGAATTCATTGCACTGGGCACATTCGATAGCCCGAAGACCTTCCTCTCTTTTTGCCGGGGTCACATTGCTTCACCACAGCATGCCACAATGAACACAGTCATTCTGAACAGTGTTAATCCATGTGCGGCCCCTACAAAACCTCCAACTACTTTCCAGGTTTTCTTGGCTTGGCCTGGACTTCTCAGAGCAAATGATTTCCTTCAGCGCTCTCAAAGAGAGCGCTGCAACGCATCGCCAATACGATCCACGACCAGGGCGCTGTGTCGAGTTGTGTCAGGCAGAACCTTGAAGGATCATAAGGAGCAAAGAGGGATCCCAAATCATTTGGTAATTTTGTCATTTGGTCTGTTAATTTGACCAAGGTTTTTGACACGAGCTTTCATTAGCGGCTTAGCTCAGCTTTGGCAATCTCAGTGCCTTTTGTCAAGAGCCATCGGGCACTGCAATTGCATGCGGCCACTTTCGCCACTCTCCACGCCCTTTGACGTGATTGATCGGAGTTGGCAGCTCGATTTCCAAGCCTTGCAGCGCTGCAAGCTTTAAAAAGGGGACTCTGTCGGTGCTGAAGCTCCAAATGCACCAGAGAAGCTCCAAATCACGGCTCTGACATGCCGTCACGGCTCCACTCCCGTCGAGAAGTGCAAGGGGTTATCTTAGCACATGTGCTTGTGAAGGTGTCAGGTGTTGCGACTCATGAATGGCGCTTGCGCAGTGGGGCACTTAGCATAGGAGATGTGTTCGACATTGGATGGTTGCCGGTCTCCGGGGGACTGTCCTAGATTGTTGACTACCGACCCCAATAAAGGGTAGCACCACAGTCCCTTCTTGTGTTTGTGGATGTTTTTGTGGGCACCAACGATCAGAAGTGACGGAATGGAGTGCGCTCGTGTCTCGTGTTTGTGGATGAAGATGGCTGTATATGGACCCAACAAATTGACATAGGGGACTGTCAATGCACGTGTCAAGTTCCTTCCAGATCACGTTGATCGATTTGGTGACTTTGACTTTGGCCACGAATCTTTGGACTCACCATTCTATGGCTCAGTGGGATAGAAACACAAAGATAGGAATTCCCTCAACCCCTTCTGTGCCCGCTTCAAACCACCAGCTCACAGATGCTGACCAGTGTGTCTGAGGCCCAGGACAGTGGTGGCCGCAGTTGTGGGCGAAGTATGGCGAGCTCCAAAAGGTCAGGAGATTATATACGGTTTTTCCTTGTAAAAAGCCACATGGGGGCAAGTTTGGCTCCTGGAATTGTGCACTACTAGGAATTGAGAAGCGGCGATTGACCAAATCAACTCCCGTGCCAGGTTGGCGTTCTAGGCGGCCTCTTGTGGCAGCTTGCACCTTCGCACAGCCCTTTGGCCTTACTAGGAGCAAGGATGCTACTAGGGGCTCCTGGCATCGCTACTAGGAGCAAGGACGCTACTAGGGGCTCCTGGCATCGCTACTAGGAGCAAGGACGCTACTGGGGGCTCTTGGCCTTACTACTAGGAACAAGAAGCTACTAGGGGCTCCTGATGTCACCTGCCAAATGCGGCTCAAGATGGCTCAAGTTCAATCATCATACCTTGATGCAGTTGGGGTGATAGGACTGTGATTTCTCGACCGTGCAAAAGCGCAAGCACCTATTGGAGAAGCATGGAGCACCAACGAGTCAATAGAGGCTCATGCACCTCAGAATGGGCCCTCATGCGACCTTTTGAGTTCTCAGTTCTCAATCCTCAAGCCATTTGAGCCGAGGATGCACACGGCAAACCCTCTCCGAATTGGAAGAGCCGGCTCCACAGCTTTCTGGGGATCTAGGCGTTCGAGGCCACTAGAATCACAGTGGACGCCAATTCAACACCATACAATACGCTGTGTGCTTAATTTGCTTGAGAGTTGAGAATTTCTGAGATGTTTTGATGCATTGCGAGACTTCTCCAGTGGATTTTTCGAGGTTAGCAAAATCTTTGCCCCAGAATGCTGAGCCCTCAGCAGCCCAAGTTGGAGTTGGGGGATTTGATTCTAACATTGCATGCGTGCACGTGTGGCAGACGTTTTGGAGATGCAAGCTTGTCTTAGCCGCAGGTTTTGCATGTCTTCGAGTTCCGACACAGCTCCTGGTATGGTCAATACCGTGAGGAAGTCGTTGCCCTGCTGCGCAGGTGGGGCTTGTGCATGGCATGGATTCATATCAAGAATTCAGACGGCTGGTGCGGGGACCTCGAAGATGGGTGGCCTAGCCTAGCCCGTACCTGCAATACAGCGTACTTGCGTCTCTTTGGAACCAAGCAGAAAGCCATCGGTCGATACGGGGAGGAAGTGATCCGTGAAAGCATCCTGCCGATGGTTCAGGGTGCAGGAGCCCCAAAGGATTCCATCGTGGTCTTTGCCCAAGCGGATGTTCCAAACCATGCGAAAGCAGATGCATCTTTCATGACTGAATTGCTTGGCCGTGGAGATCATCAGCCTGGGAGAAGTACCAAGTGGGAGAGAGATGTGCTCGTTGCCACGTTGGGTCTGGGCATTGGGAACCACGTGAGCGGAAAAGTCCAACGCATTACACATCGCACGGTGTTCATCGACATCGGCCGCTCCTGCAGAGCATTTCTGGATGCGAACCACGCACGCCGTGCTGGGCTTCTTGAGAGCTTAAAGATAGGCACCCAGATCGACAACTTGGAAGTTCAGCATTTGGACTTTCAAGGGGAGTGGGGTATAGTTGGCCTTTCTTGCCACAAAGCGTCCGTGAGTCTTGGGGCTGAAGAAGATCATTCTTCAGCTGTAGATGCTGAGCAACCAACGCAGGCAGTACCTGCAACATGGCTGATCAAGAATATGTGGTAAGTTGTTGGATTTGTTTTGACATTGTTTAGGCCTTGTCAGGCGTTTGAGATCTTGCTGCTTGATCAACATCACACGGTGTGTGTCTGTGTGTGTGTGAGAGTGTGTGTGTGTGTCACCCTTGGAGTCATAGGGATGCTTTTGCATTTGCTTTTGTTTTACAGCAGGGGGCATGGCAGCTGTTTCCCTAGCCATGCCAACGAAGCTACGGGATTCAGCCGGAAGGGAATGTGGACGCACATTCCTGTACCTGCAACGTGAACTGTTTTCAAGCTGTTCCACTTCTGTGTTTTGCAGTAAGCGTCTAATGCAGCGGTGAGTCACTTCAGATTGTGAACTTGACTTTTTTGCACGAACGTCGTCACCTTGTCGGTCGTTCGCTCGGCGCTTTTCTTTTGGAGCTGATGGTACTCTACTTCCTTTCTAGGTCGTCTTTTTCCTTTCTAAGTTTCCTCACCTGGCTTTTCAGGATTTGGGTCTCTTAGGCTGGCGAGTGGCACCGCTATCAAGTCCGTACACATATCCATGAGTGTGTTTGGCCTCGTGCCAACCCGGGATGAGCCCGCAGAGTGCCTCCCGTGGACCCGTCGAACGGGTGTACGTCGTTATCTCCTCTGCCCGGAGATGTAGATGCCCAGAGCGGGCGAAGGTGGCCTAGGCCGTACGTCCGACGATTTTTGTCTCTCATCTTTGGAATTCCAAGTTGGCTCATGCCGTTACGTGACCGCAGCGGTCTAAGAAGCAGCCAGCCATTTTGGCACGGCGTACGTGGCCGCAGCGGCCGAAGCCTGTTCAAGGTTCATTGGAACCTGTCGAGACCTTGGGTGCACATACAGCGTATACATTCAAACGAGGCAGGTTTTCCTAGGTCCTTTTAATGAGGCTCGGCTTCATCGGTTCTCGTCCCCTCCATTTGGTTCCCCCTTTCATCCCTCCCTTCACATACTCTTGTTTCCTCTTTTCTTTCATGTCCTCCTGTCTTCATGTCTGGTCATCTCATCCTTTTCTTCGTTTGCGCGCACATTGGTCCCGGCCTTAGTGTGTACGTGCACTTCTACACACATTTAAACACAGGTTTCAGGTCGCCCAGGTCTTTACAATGAGGTGGGCTTCATCGGTTGTCCCTGTGCACTTGGTTCCCCTTTCATTTCCACCACACGCACCTTTGTCCCGTCTCGTCCTCTTGTCATGTCTTCATTTTCTTGTCTCTTGTGCGCGCACACGTGCACATCGGCCCTCACCTTAGCTTCTCGCCTCCCCTCGGGGAGGCGTGTGTGTGTCACCCTTGGAGTCATAGGGATGCTTTTGCATTTGCTTTTGTTTTACAGCAGGGGGCATGGCAGCTGTTTCCCTAGCCATGCCAACGAAGCTACGGGATTCAGCCGGAAGGGAATGTGGACGCACATTCCTGTACCTGCAACGTGAACTGTTTTCAAGCTGTTCCACTTCTGTGTTTTGCAGTAAGCGTCTAATGCAGCGGTGAGTCACTTCAGATTGTGAACTTGACTTTTTTGCACGAACGTCGTCACCTTGTCGGTCGTTCGCTCGGCGCTTTTCTTTTGGAGCTGATGGTACTCTACTTCCTTTCTAGGTCCTCTTTTTCCTTTCTAAGTTTCCTCACCTGGTTTTTCAGGATTTGGGTCTCTTAGGCTGGCGAGTGGCACCGCTATCAAGTCCGTACACACATATCCATGAGTGTGTGTGTGTGTGTGTTAGATCTGAAGTTGTTTCGTTGTTTGAAGCTTCAAGATAGGTTGACGTTTGCTCAACCTTTCTCACGCATACTTTATGTTACTTTGATGCACTTCCACCGCCCTGAAGCATGTAAAGAAGAGATTCATGGTCGGTGCGCTCCATGGGGGGCGTTCAGAAATCAGGTACCAAGCGCTTCCCATGCTCTTGACTTGTGTGGACTCTAAGGCACCTCACAGCCGTTGGCTTCGGCAAAGCACTGAGAGTTCTGAGGAGACTCCGGCGGCCCAGGCGGTGGCGGCCCTGGAGGAACGGCAGGGCGACCGACCGCCGCTGCGGCGGCCGCGCTGGGCCAATCGCTGCTTCGAGGGATTGGCCGAAATTGGTGTCTTGGTGATGGACCGTGGAACCAGTCGTAGAACCAAAGGAATCTTTCGTTACTTGTGATTGTTCTCAATGTCAAGAAGCTTCGCACTTTGGGGGAGTTCTCATGTCAATCTCACACGTGTTGGTTCGGTCGAATCCATGCGCTTGTCTAGGTGGTCGGGCGCTGGAAGTTGGAGGGAACTCATTGTCATGAAATATCATGAAGTACCGGAAGCGCCCATGGTTTGGACAATCTTGGAGATCCCTGTGGTTTAAGATCTCAAGTATCGGACAACATTCGGACAACCGTTGCCAAGGAAGGGCATCTGGCAGTCGCCATGTGAAGCCTGTAGACCCTGAGCAAGAGGAAGAGCGGCTCCGCGCCAAACGCATGGCCACCAAAGCTCGCCGGGATGAACGTGTTGGCCGCTGGGCACGCGCGCTGGTGGAGACGCTGGGCGTGGTTTGAATGATGTGTCTTTCACATTTGGGTAGATGTGACCTGAGCAGGAACCTAGGACCTAGGACATCCTAGGACCTATGTCATAGAATCGGTGGGTATTTATATTTTATATACTATACAAATAAGATTATATATATAGAGTATATATATATAGATTATATATATAGTATAATATATATATACATATCTATACAGTCCAAGTCTAAGCCTGCTTCCCTCGGCCGGAGCAACTTCACTTGAGGGAGTCTCTGCAACTCATGTCAGGAAAGCAATCGCTCCACGCCCGCCCAGCAAGCGAAGCCGCAGTGAGGGCCCAGCCCCACGCACACGGAAAGAGGAAGTGATGATCCGGGAAGAGCTGAAGAAGGAAGAGGCGCCATGATTGGCTGAGGTGTGCAAGTCATGGCAGGGGCTGCTACATTATAGCGGCAGAAACTTGATCAGTGACCAGACTAAAGAGGTCACCAGAAAGACGGATTTCCGCACCAAGCCCACGAATGGCCAGACCCTTGCCCACAGCGTGTTCTATTCCGAATTGTCAGGCTGCAGCATTGGGCCGGGCAGAGAAGCGAAAGGGTGAACAGACACTTGGCCGGTTCAGAGTGAGGGCGTGAAATTAAGGGATTCTTTGGACAAGTCTCATTCGCGAAAGGTCCTGGAACTGCTGAGGCACCCCAGGCGTGCAAGCCAAGAGGCCCAAGAGGACTGGTCACAAGACCAGTGGGCGCAAGCACAAGTGTCTCTCATCTGGAATTGGAGTTGCCAGTGCCAATGCTGGTGACCGCTGGTGTCTAATCCTCAAATCTCAAATCTTGAAAGAACGCCGCCGTAGGTTGCCTGGCGAACCTGGTGATGGGCCGATTGCATGTAGCGTAGATGAGCCCAAAGCTGAGGACAAAGTAGCAAGTATGTAACTCAATAATTATGCGATCTGTGCAAGCAACGATGTTTCATGGTATTTCGATCTATTTCGCATGGACAGAGGTTTTTGCTGATGCAAATCGAGCGTCGTGAGGCGCACGCGGGTGGATTCTGATAAAGGATTTAGCAGCTGCTTCTTTTTTTCCTCTCTGTGAGGGTGAAGAGGCTGGATACGATGCAAAGAACTCGGAGACTTTTGGCCCTGACGACGATGTACCAGGCAGTGGAATGCATAAATGACAGTGGTGGTGTGACACGAATACGGTGGGCGCGTGCGAGTAGCATCGAGTAGCAGGATAAGTTCAAATTGATTGCTTAGCCAGGCTGGAGCACAGGGCCGGTGGTCAAAGTTCAAGAGCGCGTTGTCGAGCGGCGTATGTGGAGGCGCGGCTAGTTGGTAGGGCGCTAGGGAACTGTTGTGGATCTTTCGGGGTAATTGCCAGATCAGATTCGACTTCGCCGGATCAGCGTCAGGGATCAGCGTCTGGGATCAGATTCTAATTGGCCGGATCAGCGTCGTAGGATCAGATTCTAGCAGGACGGGCGGGATGGTCGGGACGGTCGGGATGATCGGGACGGTCCGTGCACAGCCAGTTAGAACGACAGTAAGAATAGTGTTTTTACGACTTCGCCGAATCAGCGTTAGTTGGGGATCAGCGTCGGCAAGACGCTTGGTCGGGATGGTCGGGACGGTCCGTGCACAGCCAGCTAAAATTACTGTAGGAATAGCTTTTATTCGACCTCGCCGAGCCAGCGTTAGTTATAATAGGGATCAGTGTCGACAAGACGCTTGGTCGGGACTGTCGGGATGGTCGGGACGGTCGGTGCACAACCAGTTATAACGACAGTAGGAATAAAATAGTCTTCAAACAGCGTTAGTGAGGGATCAGCGTCCACAAGACGCTTGTGCGGGCTGGTCGGGATGGATGAGACCTGCGTGCACCAGTGAGGATGACGGTCGGGATGGTGGGGATGGTGTTGCCAAGCACGCGCCCGTCACTCCTGCGATTCCGATCTGACCAATCAGATTCCGATCCTATGAATCCGATCCGAACAACACCCGATCTTTCGCCGGGAGGTTCTGGACAGATTTGAAGTACACACACATGATTTCTGTACCACACGCTTCTGGAAGTACTGTTGTGGGCCAAGAACCTAAAGTGTTGGCGCGTTAAGTTGGAGTTGAGGGCATTGAGTAGGCCGTGGTCGTTTGCCTGCCACAGTTAAAGTATGTTAAAGTTGCAAATGATTTCCCTCCACCTCTTTTGTTGGTACTTGGAACCAATTGTGGAGTTAGTTAAGTTGTGAAGTTCAATCAATCAATCTCCTTTTGCGAGAGGCCTGGGCTGCATGACGATAAGCTCAATCGCAACTTGGTGGAAGCTGCCCGGAAGCCAACCAAGAAAAGTAGGGTGAACACAGGTTTTGTTGGGCATGAAATGGTCACAGAGTGCTCCAAGACATACTGTAGTTACAGCTTTACAATCAAGAAGAACTATGCGGCTAATAGGCCTTATGTGTTGACCAACCTTAGTCCAATGCTTTAAAACCTAGGGCTTTTAGAAGGAGTTCGGGTGTGCATTGAACGCAGCTTCCTATTCCATACGAGTTAGTGATGAGACGTGAGCAGTCTGAGAAGTCTGAGGCAACAAGATTCGCTACTTGGATGCAGTGTTGTTCTGCTTCCTGATTCCAGCTGTTCAGGAACTGCAGCACATGCCAACATGAATCAACAGGTCAACAAGTGAAGTCCAGTTACTTCCAACAGCGGAAGCGTCCAGTAGTGTTGCCCAACTATATATATATATATTGATTTCTATAGTAATGTTTGTTTTTGTTTGCAAACTTCTTCCAACAACCGCGGGGAAAAAGAGGCAGAGAAACTACTTACATGTGTGGTGGTAGAGCTGACAACGAATTGTCGTGAACCTGTTTTGGTCCTGTCAACGGTCCAAGGTTCTGAACCTAGTGAGCTTTCTAAGACAATTGCCAGCCTTCCGGCTGCAATAAGTTTCTGATCCCCAGTGCCAGACTGTTCCCACTTGCTTTGCTCGCTGAGGCTACCCAAAGCCGCCTGAAACTCGACTACATAATTCCAGTGGATGATGCATTACTCATGCCATTGAGCCTGGTTGCAGCGCAGATGAGTGCAAAGTTAGAGCTTGCTGCTTGCAAAGATCACGGACACTAAGGCACATGAAGTCTCCCAGTGCTTTGACAACTCTGACTCTCTTCAAAATTCTGAAGAGAAGAGAGAAGCTGAAGTGATAGACCCACATGAGACAGAATCAGATGCGCCTGAAGAAGACTGGCATATTTGTATGCCTTTTGGCTGAAACAGACCCAACTCCGAACTCCTTCCTGCCAGCACTGGTAGGAGGTATGTAGGAGGCCAAACGTCATAAGGAACTCAGACGATATATGAACAAATCTGAGACGTTCCCTTTGCGGTCTCATTGGCCGGACAGCTTCATGCACGGGTGCATCGATGCAAGGTCCACGAACCAAAACGTGGAAGATTTCTGGGAGGACTTGTGCCATCAATTGGAGTCAGTTGGGTGTGGTTGACTTGTGCCTAAAATCAGGTCAACTGGTTTAGCTGATTTTAGCTGGAAGACAGAGTGACTTTCCAGGAAGAGATGGAGAAGGCTTCAGATGATTCAGAAGCTGAGGAGATTTCAAAACAGAGCCTTGCCAATCGAAGACATTTTAACGATTTTTAGAGGCATCATAATATAAGGTAAATGAATGGTTCGTTGGGGTTGGGGATAGGCCGATGCGGCGTATCAACAAAAAGGCCCGGGCGAACACACAAGAAGTTGCTCTTAGGACCCCAGACCAGATAGAGGACAAGACCACGCAGGCCAAACCATCATTTTGGTGCTTTGGCGTGCACGCATGGTCAAGAGTCCGATAAACATGAGCATTTTGAACAGTGTATTGTATATATATATATATATGTGTGTGTGTAACCCTTGGAATCATAGGGATCCTTTTGGATTTGTTCGGTTTTCCTTTTAACTTCATGTCGAAGCAGGGGGCTCGTGGACGCATGGATGGCACGAGCCAACGAAGACCCATCCATGTCGTCGTGATACCAGACCTGATCAGTCTGGCGTACCTGCGATTTTCCTTCCTTTCTGAATGGCGTGAGGCTAAGCCAAGAACCTCGAAGTTTTGATGTTTTCTTTGAACTGCAGATGCGAGCGGCACGTCGTCACCCTGTTCGTCCGTC